AGCTTATCCTCTGCCTTCAGCGCAGATGCAACTCCTTTCTCCAGGCCACTTGCCGTTTAAGAGGAGTCATGAGTCTGGTTTCCAGGGCCCTGGCGGCTCGGAAGTTTCCTGAATGTTGGCAGGCATCCTGCAGAGGAGCTACCGCCAAGGCAGTTAGGTTCAGCTGCTGGTGGGCATTCAAAAGTTTGGTGCAAATGGCCACATTGCCATGGCGCCCTTCATGAATGCTTTGAGGTCCCCGGCTAGTTCATAGCAAGCTGAATTGTCGGCCTGGAACATCCGCTGCAGAGGGAGGTTGCTGACCTTGAAATGTGCGATTAACGTCCCACCAGTGTCGCTCACCCCTGCATTTTCCGGAAAGCCTAACATGCTCTTTGGAACCACCTTGGAACCTTTGTTTGGTGGCCTCCTAAACCATGTTGGAGCGCAGATGGGAATGACACACCGAGCGCCACAAGCCACCATAGAAGATGGGCTCAATAGCCATTTGTGCCCAAATGCCTCCGCAAGGAAATCGAAGTCGCTGGCAAACCTCTCAGGCAACCGGCAAGTAAACAAATAGAGCAGAGTGCGCAACAAAACCAAGTGCCTTGTAACGCAGTCGGAATTCCAACTCGCCCTGCAACAGAAGCTGATGAAGCAAAAACTACTTCCCAGTAGAATGCATCGTTCAAGATGCTCACGGGAGACTAAGTTAGGTGGCATATCCAACGAGGGGTTCTTTGTGCACTGAGTTGCTGTTCAACAGGAAGTTGTCGCTCCAGCTGAAGCAGTGTGGGCCTCCGCGAGTTCGGCTCAATGGCATAGCAGTTGAAGAGCTGCAGCCAGTCAGGGCACCAGTGGATGGCTTGCATTTGACTTCGATACGCTGGTCAGTAGTACAGTAGAGCACTAGGAGAGATGTTCACTATCTGAAGGAACAGGCGTGGAGACTGCAAGGCAGGTGCTGCTTGAAACAAACGAGACTTAGACAGCTCTGCAGCCTCAGGTCTCTGGACAACATACATGAAAAGCGGAACACAGGACCGTCCGCCTATCCCCTCTCCCTACTACTATTGCTATTACTATTACTATTGCTAGTTTCTGCTTGCCTTCTGCAAACCTGCGCTGCATTCGGCCAGCAGCCTGGCAGTCATACAGATAGTCTGCGTTAACGGCACGACTTAGCAGACCCGCCAGTCCTCGCCAGTATGTGTGCAAGTATGGCTTCAAGATCACGTTGCATTCATATCTCCAACCAGCGAGCCTACACAAACCAGACGCGAATCAGAACGGAGTATCCCTTTTCAAATGCCCGAAGAAGACCCTGCTTGCCTCTTTACCTCAGGCTTGTCCAGGAGGTCGAGAGCACACACCAACTCCTGATCATGTCATGAAAGTCCATTGATGCTGCGAGCCGGCGAGCAGTAGGTCACTGCCGGGGCAAGGGATCTATAGCCTGCTTACCAAGCTTATTGTCAAAGCGAATTGAATAATCCAAGAACAAAAATTCATGTCAACTTGAGGCCATGGACACTCGGCCCACTGCCTCCTCTTCGTTGACCAAATCGAAACGTAAATGTGTGTGACTGTACCGCATTGTGATGCTGGCAATTGCTCTTACCAGCATGGCCATACCCGCAAAATAAGCTCAGTTACAACAATTTAAAGGCTTCCTGCACCAGCAGCTGTAGCATGTGCATACTGCCCAGCGTTCCCAAACAGCCACTGTTTCTCGACCTCCACACAACCCACCCCATAGATCTTAGAACCGAGGCTGAGATGATGCCCAATCCAATCCAACATGTTTCCAGGCATGCATCCATAGCTCTGAGATGCCGAATGTTGCAGGACTCCAAAATGCAATGTGGCAAACTCTGCGTGGATGATATCTCCCTTTTTCACGGCCCAACCTGACCCTGCTCCAAAGCAGCGAGGCATGGAATGTCACCACGGCAACCGGTCCTCGCTTCGCGTTCTGAGCAGCACTCCGTTGAGGGGCACGATGACCTCTGCCAGAGCGCCCATAATGGGAAAACAAGGTCTTGGCCGTAACGCGAAGGCGCAATGCTGTATGGGCCCCTCCCCGGTTCTGAGGTCAACCAATACGGAAATTTGTCAGGACGTCATCTGGCCAGCCAGAAACCCTGGCCGGGTCGTGCCTCTTCCAGGACCCTCCTGTACCCTTAAATAGGGTATGTAGTCCCTAACAGTGGGCAATAAGGGTATGATAGAGGGTAGAAGGATGGTCCAGGTTTCAAGACCCAAGGCATTATAAACACTTAGTGCTTCTTAACAGTTTTCCTAGTTCATGCAGACATTCTCAGGGCTCCCGGCACGGCGGCAGAAATTCTCTAAGCCACCGGAGACCTGTTGTGTGAGCTAAAATGTCGGATGAGGAAAGCATGGATCCAGCCAGCCTTCCCCTACAACTGCAATGTTTGAGTTTCTTCAAAACAGTACATATATGGCTCTCGACTCTACTGTAGGCCTTGGATTTGCACAACACGAGGTACACCTAGCTGCGCTGGCACATGTGAGCTATAGTCTAAGCTCCACTTAGTATCCCTCTTAACCACCCCTGCAGACCCTAAATCTTCAAACCCCTAAACCCATACCCTATATAGGCCCTATATAATCCCTATCTATTCCCTATATGAACCCCGCCCCCCCACCCCCTTATTGAGGAGTTTAGACTATGGCTCACGTGAGGTAGTAACACGCCAAAATGGCATCCTCAGGAGCCATGCACTGCGCTGCTACCTCGGTGCTTGACAAACAGATGTATTTTCCTAGGGGTTTGGAAGAGGTAGGGGATAATTATACAAGGGTGATATGAGCTACAGCCAATATTTCTTACCCAATTTAATGGACATGGGTTCCTTATTAAGGACTATATTAGGGACTATACTAAACTACAAGAGGGACCCTCCACTGTTAAGGGCCCCTTAATGCCTTAATAAGGCTAATATTGACCGTAGCTCATATAGGGATTAAACTCCCTAATTCCTTGCTAACCACCAGTACTACAAGGAGCAAGCAACAGTGAGCAGTGAGATTTTTCGTATGATTCAGATATGGGTTTCGGAGCAGGGCCAATCAGGGACGCTGTTTCTTCTGTGGACAAGCTCGGGCGAAAACCATACAGCTTGACATCCCACCTCAAAATCCAAAATATGGACTGTACCATCTCGGGCGAAAACCATACAGCTTGACATCCCATCTCAAAATCCAAAATATGGACTGTACCATCTACGGCCCACCCCTGAACGGGCGACTCTTGTTGCATCCGCGGGGGAGCCGGTTAGAACTGATTCCAACAATGGCCGGGATATGCCGTACATCCTTCTTGACTACGCTGCGTGGAACACATAGCAAGAATGAACAATGGAAGTTTTGGTGGCGTTGTGCTGGAGGCGTCTCTCACAGGTCTGGTGGTGAACGCCGCGGAATTCCAGTGGAAATTTCTAGAAGGGAAAATTGACCTTACAAAATTTCACAGAAACTTCGCCACGTTCTTCGCCACAAACTTCACGGCAAGACTTCGCCACAAACTCGCCGCAAGACTTCACCGCACAACCTCGCCGCAGAACTTCGCCCAACAAGCATCACTCCGCAAACGGTACAAAGTTTCCAGCGTCTGGGAGAAATCCGGACGCAAGTATGTATGTAACAATTCAAGGTATAAACTGGCTCCGACTACCCAGATACACGCTTGACTTGCTGGCTTTAGGCTTGAGCTGATAAACTATGTAAGCGGCCTTCTCTCCCAAGCTTACGCACGCCGTGGACTTAAGCCCCACTTCGCTTCCCAAGCCTGCCAAGGCCTCAGGACATCCTGTGCCCAAGCCACCAACTTTACTAGTCTTTTTCATGTTCTTTGCCATTGCTTGTTACTTACCATACAACTCCCTATATTAAGTCTGCATACAGTCCTACATCTTCTACCCAACTTCCGCCGAGGTGCGTCTGCAAGAGCCTTCGTAAAACTCTCAACCTTAAGCCACATTGAGACTGAAGCAGGCAATAGCAGCAAATGTCTACATGTGCTGAGCGTCAGGCAGTCATGAGCCGCTTGGATCCACCGCCTGCCTGCTTTGGCATTATCAGGCACCAAGCAAAAGTTGGTGGAATGCTTAAGAGAGCATGGTCTGGCATGGCCTGCTGGATTCAAGTTTGCATGCTCTGATGCTAGTTTTTAGCAGCTGCAGCACAGCTGTTGAGATGTTTTTTTTGCGCTTCTGCTAATGGCTGCATCACTCCGCTTTGTGATGGTGCCCTCCAAGAGCGATAGCAGACCTTTGGTCTTGCAAGCGCCTATGCATGACAAGAGGATTCCTGGACTTCACAGGTCCCTAACCCTTAGCGTCGCACAGTTTGCCAGACCGATCCTTCAACACTGCCGAGCTTTGCCTCGCCTACTTAGAGCAGTTGTGCTGACAGCGTGGGCTTGCCAAAAGTGAAACAGCGGAGGCTGGAGAAGTGAACGCGAAAACTCGGAAATCGCTAAGACCATTTTCCACGAGAACCAGCACTGAAATCTTAGCATCCATCGGTTATGCTGCACATTTTCCAAATTTCGGAAATTCTTCCCGTTCGAACCCTATACCTCTTACCTGATACTCTAATTCTTACTTGTCAGGAGGATTTCCGTGACAAGTCGCGTACTCTCGAGGGCTCCTCATCCACTCTGTACAGCTATGTGCTTCATCAAGTTGAGGCACTCCTACCCGCAAGCCGGAAGCTTATACATCACCCCTCTGAAATCTTCGCAAACTCCAAATGATTCGGCTCGCATACGCCTTCCTAACAGTCACTCGCTGTGACTGCTAATCAGGTGCTCAGCTGGACCAGATCCTGATCAAACTCCACGAGCAAGTATTTTTTGCACTTAGTTGCCACAACTACGTCTTCATATGCAGGGTTTGATGTTCTCAAGATCTGGTGACAGCTGGCACAAAAAAAACATTTCGTTTGTGAACAGCCAAGCGTGCTGGCAACCACTCGACGCCCAGGCATGGCTATGCCAGCCGCAGCGTCATGATCAACCTTGCTGCTCGGGCAGCCCAGCGGCAGCCCTTCATCCATTGTTGCAGGGTCAGCTCGTCGCCTGCACCTGTCCAGGGACATGAAAACACGTATCGGTTGCCTCATCCTTCTGCTCTCCCTTCAAATGCTGTTTGTTTGGCTGGTACAGCCACGGCTTAAACTCCTATTAACCCCTATAATAGTCCCCTATATAACCCCTCCCCTTTAAGGAGTTTAGACTGTAGCTCATGAGAGCTTACACCACATCCGGCCAGCGAAGGCTTCTTGCAGGATCTGCTCCCAGTCGCTCTGCTGCAGGTTGGCATCGAAATGATCGAGGCAAAACCTGCAAATCACTGCCATCACCAACACGCAAACTCGGCAAAGAGGCAGCCAAGAGACCAATGACTTAGTCAGGTCGTGGTAGTGGGTAAGTTTTCCAGTATTGCTATTATTGATGTTAACATTGTAGTAACATTACTCAGATAATATATATATATATACCAGGACCTTCCTTGTACCCATAGTTTGGGATATATGGTCCCTAATAGTGGGTACTTAGGCCCTAATAGAGGGTAGGAGGAGGGTCTAGGTATACTGTCGTAATTTTTCCCTAAGGGTCCAAGGACCNNCCTAAAACCCCATTGTTTGGGTCCTCGGACCCTTAGGGTTTGGTTGTTTATGATGGCCTCTTCGCTTCCAGGCGGCAGGCATCCTTTGAAGCCGCTGAACGATGTGGGCTCAGCTTCCTCGGAAATCTCCGATTTCACGTATGTTAGGCTCGTCGCTGCATCAAATTACATGGTAGTTTCCCTAAATAGGAGTACCACCCATGGCGACCCCCCTTCAAAAAAAAGAGACCCTTAATTTTGGGAAACCCCGCATTTTTAATTACAGCACGGAATCGTGAAGATCCGCAGGAGGGTGGCATTGGAGATGCATTTCTCCCTCATCGCTTGCAGGAACTCCCGGAAGGTAGGATTCTGCCGCATCTCTGCGTCTGTAGTAGGCAGGATGATCTGGCCTGCTTCAACCTGCAATATACTATAATGACCACGGCTTAGCTGGAAACACCCATATGGGAATATATTCCCAGGTATGTTTCGTAGTGCTGGGCTCTTGACAAAAGGCACGTTGTGGGGGTATATATCGGGGTATGTATCGAGGTGTGTATTAAGGTATGTGTCGGGGCATGTATCGAAGGGGTCAAACATGCGCGTTTTCAGGAATTCCTGACGCACCATTTTTGGAGACAGCCATATATTCCCATATTCCCTACAACTCAGGGGGCAATGCAGGTCAACAAGGGTCCTTCAGGGATGAAATGGCAAGCGTTAAACCCTGCACGCCTCCTGAAGAAAGGGCAAGGCGTCCAGTATTAAGTCGGTAACCTCGCAGTTCTCCTTAGTTGGAGACACTGCAGCAGGGTGAATGGCTTCTCTGAGGACTTGGATGGTTGAACTTCTCTTGCGCAGCAGCTTGAAGTATCTCTCCAACTCACAGAGATTGACATCTTATCCTGAGGCCCGCTCTGCAAGGAAGTTCCTAACACAGAGCTCCGCATCGCCATTGCGCTCGATTTCCAGAAGGATGCGAAACAGCCGCGCATACTCGTACTCCTCCGAGGACTCCAAGTCCTGAATGACAGCTGCAGTGTTGAGAACCTCGGCATCCAGGTTTGAAAGGGCCAGCTAGAAACATGTCAACAAAAGATCATCTTTCAGAAATACACCAAGATGGTTCAAAGCGTGCAATATCATCCGGAAACGGATCTTCGACGGCTGCCTCAGCAGCAAACACATGGGCATGGCTTCTTATATAGATGTACTGCAGCCAGTACTCTCAGTATTGGTACTGCAGAGCGATATTCAACTCCCATGCTTACAATTCCATTGGGCTTGTCCGCCACGGGCTATAGACTGAAACAAAGAACTGCGGTCTTGCTGTGACATGGTAGCTTCCATGAATGGGGGGGAACTACAATATGAATCCCAATATACTACCATCCTTATTATGGGGACCCCCAAAAGCAACCCATGAGTTTTGGAAAACAATAAGAAGGGTTTAGGGTTTTGGGGGGTTTTAAGGTTTAGGGTTTAAGCCCAGCTGCGCGTGGACACTGACATCGTCATGGATCCAGGGAGGCTATCGCGACGGGAGCTCAGGCTACTGGCTTGCGACTGAGCGCTGGCAACGCTAACCTTGATTCCAGGACATGGTGTTTCACAAAACTAAGGACTTGTTTTTTTTTTTGGCGGGGGGTGGGTGTACCTATAATAAGGATTGTGAAGCTAGGAAAGTACATTGGGATCTATATCGGGGTCCCTCTATTCAGGAAACTACCACGTGTTTCTGAGGCTCCTGCCCGCTTTCTCTGTACACCCCCCGCACCATCTCATGCCGGCAGCCAGTTTACAAAAGGCCTTGCAAATAGTCCTCTTCTGTCCCCTTGCCAGCAGTGACCGTGTTGCAGAATCTATGCCTACCTCTGGCTCATAAGCATGAAATTGTAGCCTCCTCTCCCGGAACAAACATGATCGGAGGTGGCCGGGCAATCCATACCATTGCTGCTAAGGTGTTGGATTCTTGGCGAGTCAAGATTCTTGATATTATGATGCGGGGCTCAACGTTTCTGGCTCCTGTGCAGTCTGGGGTCTGCCCGTGATGGCACGGATCCGGTATGTCATATTACAGTAGCGCAGCTTCCTGGTGCATCAAGCTTTTGGCGGGCCCCCGCAGCCAAGGAGGATGTGCGCAAGCCTTTACATACTTTCAACTCTCAACTCTTTGCGTACGTCACCATGGGGCAAACGACTTACTTGGAATCAGCACTGCTGGGGAGAACGCGGCGGCTGCACCGTACTTGTTTACAAATCAATCCAACAGCGCTGCCAATTAGATTCTGGTCCAAAGTTGCCTCGAAATCTCAGCGGGTACGGAGACGAGAACTTGCAATTTTACGCGAACCGCACAGGCAACATTGACCAAGTGAGCTTGAGATTGCGGACCTGCCTGCCTGGCATAAGCTGGCACACAAGTGCAGCCACAGGGGCCCGCCGGCCCGTAGCCGAGTCTGCAGCTTCCCCGCTCTGCGCCGCAGTTGGGGGCCCTGGAAACAGCTGAGCAATGACGCAGGATGTCGAGGACTCTTGAGAGATTCAGCTCCATGCAATTCACCTAAAATGGTGCAGAACAAGTCGAAGCAGCCCACTCTTCCGCCTGAGCTTGGGCTCGCTTCTCTTGGCGCTGCGGGAGGAGACGCTGCCTGCATGCACAGAGGGAGGGGGAGGGAGGACAAGTAAGAAAAGGCGCGCTTGCGACGCAAGACCCAATCCA